CGTTGGTAATATATATTTTTCTGGTAGCAGAGAATCTCATTTATCCGAAAGCATCAAGAAACTATCATATTGCTGAGCAAAGCTGAATATAAAGATTGCTTTAAGGTATTTAAAACTACCCAATGCGAGACCGATATTCAAAGATTACGTCTGTCTAACGATAAGTTTGAGAGTTCATTCAAAATGCTACTAATAAAGGAATCGATTATGTCACTTCTTCTCAGGAAGTATTTTTGTCCTGTGCTTTTTGTATGCTCCGAAAAAAACGTCGAATAAAAGTTGAAAGAAATCCGCTGAACAATAAAGTGATTTTATTGGTGAGAGAACCATCAGGAACAGGTGGTTTGATGATCGGTGCAATGTGTTCCGATGCGATTATAGAGTCACTTAGGGAAATTACCATTTTCGAGCGATTATCTTCTTGAGTTCAAATAAGGAATTCCTCATATGATTATCCACCTAAATGCTCGATGAGATCATTTGGGGAATGCAATTCCAAAGATTTCGAAGTATTGCTGAATATTGTTGAGTTACGATTCATACAGTACATATCTGATTCTCGCAGTATTTATCATGATATGCACAGCGCTGAATATTAAATCCATTGAGGAGGACTTCTATACGGCCGTTGCAATTTAGACTGTTGGAGAAGTGTGAAATAATGGTTATAATATTTCAGAAAGTAATCGAGCAATGTCGAAATAAACGCAAGTGTAAAATTGTTGTCAAGCCGTCGTTCTTCGATCGTGATCCATGCCCGAACACATCAAAATATTTGCAAATTTCTTATAAATGCAAACCGAGTAAGAAGCCATTGATGTAATTCAAATCAGAAACGTTATGCATACTCAAACACAAATTCAATTACATCTCAGATTTGTATTCATTCTGAAAGAAGTTCGTCGAGATGAATTTGATGGAAAATGTTCGTCTACATAGAAGAATTTCAGTCTCATAAAAAAATTTCAGTCTCATTAAAAAATTTCAGTCTCATAAAAAATTTCAGTCTCATAAAAAATGTCAGTCTCATAAAAAATTTCAGTCTCATTCGATGATCAAAATTTTTGCGAAGGATCAAATATGCAGTTGAGTTGTAAGCCGAATAAACGATTGGCCATTTATTCGGCACAGTACGGACGTACTGTCAACGGTCAAGCGATGCACTGCACACCGAATACACCGGTTGCGAAAGGTATCATTTAGTACTTATCGTGAAATTCTCTTATTCTTTGACTGGTTTCATTCCGAAGGCTGATAGTCAAATTAGCGGTGATTGGTAATTAATAAAGGCACCGAACCATCGGTTCAGATGAGTTGAAGTGTTTATGTTCGCTTTGAATTATAACTAACATGCACATGCTTGTGGTATAGCTAGTGACCTCTTGAGTTCAAAGTGCTGGTATAATAATGCTATCATTGGTATTATTGTTATTGAGGTTGATCA